AGAATATTTTAACTCTAATGTACTGTGCTGAAATCAGGTCATTTTTCAACTGTAAGTGGCTATTCCACTTTGGAAAAATAAAAAAAAAATTCCTGGTTCAGACTCTCTACAACATCATCTTGTAGTCATTACTGGCAGCTAGAAGAATGCGTCTTCTCACTTATTTCAAATACTTATTATCTGTACACATGGAATGCGAGCCATACATTAGGTGCAACTACTTTTTAAAGTATATTTTATCCTCTAATGCCTACCTTATAGAAGAATTTATGGTGGAGGAATCGATGAATCCAATAAATACACATATCGGTGAAGAAGAGAAAAGATAGCATGCTGAAGATAACACCAAACCAACCTAAATAAACAGAGAAAGAAAAAAAGAAACAGTTTAAATGTTAGTAGATTGACAAGGCACCAGTTTGCGAGCACAAAAAAGTTATTCAGTTTCAGTAACAGTTCCTAAATTTCATTTAGAAAAGACTACTTTCTCTGAGCCTTTGGCATCATTGAACATTTCATTCTAAAGAACTAAAATCGTAGGATAATCCAAGCAGGGAGAGTCAAGCTTCCACTTCGTGTGTCCTACTAAGTCTTGTCAATGGGCAGAAAAGAAATAAGATGATATTTCTCCTTTCTTGGTCTTTTGTAGCCCCCTTCTTGAACTTGAAATAGTACTCAGCTTTTTTCAAAATACACAGGAGTTAAGTGGTTCCCACAGTTCAGGCACCAGGTTCAGAGAGGTACCAAGCATCAACTGCTTGCAGGGAAGGGATTGAAAAAGTGAAGAGTTGGCTAGAATGTAAGAATACATATACTGGATGACATCAAAGGCCTATCTAGTACACCGTTCTGTTTCACGTACATTGTCATTCAGGACATGAGTGTAACCACACTCTCCACTTTGTGCTCCCTGCCTGTGTTATTGATGGTGGCATGCATCCATCTTGACTAGTAACTCATTAATGGCCCTATCCTTCATGAATTTATCCACTTCCCTTTTAAAGCCACCCAAGCTGGCAACCACCACTACATCCTGTGGGAGTGCATTCCACAACTTTAACTGCACACTCTGTGCATGAATAATTCCTGTTATCTGTCATGAATCTCCCATGATTTAGCTTCATTGGATGATTCTCTGTTCCAGTATTAGTAGGAAGAACATTTTCCCATTTACTTTCTCCAAACCACGCATAATTTTACAGATTTCTGGCACTTCTCCTCTCACTCACCTTTTCTCCCCTAGCATTATAAACCTTTCCTTGAAGGGCATTTGCTCCACTTCCTTAACCATTTGCTTTGCTCTTTTCTGCCCCTTTGTTAGATATACCATATTCTTTATCACCAAATGTGGTGACCAAAACTTTACAGAGCATTTCAGATGTGGATGCACTGTAGACTGGGTTAAAGGAAGTATGACATTCGTTCTTATTTGTCTGGTCACTGATGGGGTATAGGCAACTAAGATATGTATATGTGAAAAAGGAGATCACTAAAAAGTTTGAGAGTTGCATATTTCAGATAGCCTGACTCATATAATATCAGATAATATAAAACAACTAACTGAAATTTGTTTCACTATATATTGCCTGAGAGAACAAGAAGAAACCAGGGGATGAATGAAACAAGTTTAATGACTACTAACAAATACATGACACAGTTTGAAGTTCTCCTTCTCCTTCATGACCTAGAATTTTAAAGAAATTCAATACTGTTCTTTGATATTTGAACATGTAAAGTAAATTATATGTTCAGAAGTCAAAGATACCTGTGGGTGGCACTGAATTTCTTAAGAATTCTGTCTCTTGGTTGTGGAGCAAAACTCAGAAATACTTCAGCTATTTGTAAAATATTCAACATTTTTCATTTAGCAATGGATGTCTTGTCCATTTCTTTCTCAGCTTATTTAGTGCTGTTGTCACTTTATGTTGTACCAATGGTGTACAGGAATATCCTTAGCTTACCTAAACTTTGGGACAAAAACCACATGTAACGGGACCCAGCCCATTGGAAAAGGTAACTCTCACAAGTGGCGGCAATGAAACTGCAAACTTTTTTTTTTAGGATTTGTACAGGGAGGTAGGGAACAGATGATCTTCCTCTCCTTGCTGCTCCAAAGCACTTCTCTTGGGAACTTTATCCACGCATATACTTTAAAAATGCACTGTCCTTGCCAATATGCATTTTAATCATAGTGTCTGGAATCTGGAGCAGGAAACAGCAGGCAAGGAAAGGGTTGCACATCCTCCCTACCATCACTTCTGCACTACCAATCACCCACAGTCCATAGTTGCTTTTTGAAAGAAATATGGTAGTCTAACCCCCCCCCCCCCCCCCGTCCACAAGAACAGAAAATTACGTATATTCAAGCTCCATAGGCTTGAATGGAGGCACATGCATTTTGACCTCCCATTTTGTCCCCTTCCGTTCACCACCCATGGATAAGCAAGGGATGTGGATCCTAAGTTTGCATGAATGGAGGGGCAGCTGTATTGAAGTTTTGATGTACATATTGGTACATGGTAAAACTTATCTAAGAGAGAGAAGAAACTTCTAGACACCCAAAGTGCAATAAATAATGCCTGGGATAAAAGAGTAACAGATTTTTGAAATAGAGAAGATGACTTATGCATGGGCAATTTCCTTACCATAAGGAGAATCTTCAATGTTGTCATAGAGCTTGCTGTAGCCTCTGACCTCAGCAAAGAAGATGGCAACAGTGGGGACACTGATCCATGGCAAAGATTTCAGAGTGTGTTTTATCTCACGTTGCACTTGATTCTGAACACAAAAAAGACACCTTGAAAAACTGCTACTATTTAATTATATAGCACTTAAAAATGTTCAAAGCAAGTATTGTCTCAGTTGTCCCTTTAACAAGACTGCCAGAGAGAGTAGTAATATTATCCCACACCATAATTAATATGGTAGTTAAGACAAGGGTTGTATGATGCCACCTCCTCAGTCCGCAGCTCATTTTTATCCAGTATAAAATCCTATCTTGAAAGTGTGCTTATTTTAAGTACACAGCAATTCTTTCTTTTGAAGAAAATGAAAAAATAAAGCAAATTCTTCAATCTACAACATTATTAAGAAGCCTCCTTTGACACAAGGGAGGCTTAACAAATTTGGAAAGGGAAAATATTCTCTATCAGTAACATTGTAACATTGTTTACAGTGAGACAATCACCATCCTGCATATTCTTAACTAATTTTGTTAAAAACCAGGGAGATACCTCCAGTTCCTGTGGCCTTAATTCTTCCCTAGTGTTACTTTTTTCACCAGCATGTGTTTACACCGCCATAAAGCTGTGGGGCCTTACCTTCTCAGCTGAACCCACAAAGTTACTTGAACATCATTAAAAAAGTAGAATTTTCTTTAACTACAGAGATTCATGTTTCATAGCTAGAGTTCATGTTTGCAATCTGGAAGGCCCCATGTTCCATCCCTGGTACCACCAACATTAACAGAGTTTAGAGCTAAAGTTAATGATTGCATAAAAGTTCCAAGTTCAATCTTTAGCACATCAAAATTAACTCATAATTCAGAGTTAAAGTTCATTCTTACATGCAAGTTCAGTTCTTGGCAATTTCAAGTTCAGTTCTTGGCAATTTCAAGCTTAAAACGTTCCCAGACACTAGTGTTAGGAAGACCCCTCGCAGAAGTTTTAGAAAGTCACTGCCAATCAGAGTAGGCAGTACTGAGCTAAATGGACCTATGTTTTGACTCTATATGTGGCTGCTTTCTATGTTTATGTTCTAGTAACTCATGTCCAGTCTGACTATTGCCTGGTTTTATATTAACAAGCCAGCCTCTCCACCACCTGAGATTCTGATAACATGTTTATTATCAGGCCTTACATCTCCTGATAAACTTCCACCAGGATTTCAATAGCTTTCACTCCACCATCAACTTGAGCCTAGATCAGTCAACAAGCTCATTTCATAGACACTTATAATGGATGTATAAGCATTACTTTATACTGGAAACTAAAGACTGCTACACAAACTTGCATGTTTCCAGATTCCACCAAGAGCACAGCTCAGAATCCATTGTGTTACAACCAAGCCCTAGAGTATCATGGCATGGGTCAGGCCTTTCAGACGTAGACAGATAATGCAAGGATTTAAATCAGGTAATTTTTACCCACCCACCCACAGATGTGAAGAGGCCTGAAAGGCCAGACTGGTACCCATGAATAATCCACTACATGACAAACTCATTAGACTGCTGGTTGTTACTTACTGGTGCTCCACAGCCCATTCTAGACAATAGTACTTTCCTCTTATAGACCTTTGCTGTGCAGCTGTGGCTGGAATCCTGTTGGTTAGTCCCAACAAAGGAAGATCTACTGAATCAATTGGTAAATTGTCAACACATAGGTAAATCTCATTGATACAGTTGCTCTGTTCTAGATGGGAGTAACAACACGATGTAAGCCAGTATTTGCTTATAGTGACTCATCCATTTCAAAAACGTTACATGTCAGCAACAACAGACCTTGTAAGAGTGATACAAAGGTGTCAAACATTGTTACAGACTCAAATGCCAACTATGTTGCCATGTCATCCCTGCCAACAGCCTAATGTCATCCATAAACATCAGGTTTATGCTCATCTTCCATCCTTTCAAACAGTGTCCTCCTGAATTCTATACAAGACAAAAAGCATACATGAACCACAAATCTGACATTGAAAATGACAGCTCAATAACTTGTGAAGGCACTTGGCCATCCTTGAACAAAAGAGGTTCTAAGAGAGATTCCAGTGCACAACAGCTGGGCTGGACAATAGTTCAAGGGGTTTAACTCTAACACCAATGGCTTCAAATAGTGACAAAGGTGTTTTTAGCATACTATATGTGTGCATCATCTCATCATTCAAAAAACCACAAGGTTGTCTCCACACTGTGAATTCCATGACAAGTCACTCATGAAGGTCAGGAGCCCAGGAGTCAGGATTGCAACATCCCAGCAAAGCACCACTAGCTGAAATTACAGAAAGCCTGCATGGTGTAGTGGGTTTGAGCAATGGACTATGACTCTGGAGACAAGGGTTCAAATCCCCGTTTGGCCATGGAAACCCATTGGGTGACCTTGGGCAAGTCATACTCTCTCAACCTGAAGAGAAAGCAAAGGCAAACCGCCTCTGATCAAATCTTACCAAGAAAACCCTGTGATAGGTTTGTTTTAGGATCTCCATTAAATCAGAAATGACTTCAAGGCATACAACAATAATGAAAAGAATTCTTTGGATGCAGGACATCAGAACACCAGAACAAGAACAAGAAATGTTGCATTTGGCATAATACCATTTCTTTTCTTCTTTACGCCAGTTTGTATTCATCAGACAGGGAAACCTGCACTCAAACAGACTACTGAATGCAGAAATTTAGGGAAAAAATTGCTCTGATGAGCTCCCCAACTAACCTCTAAAAACTGAGGATGTTTCTTTAGTGAGTGATCAAATATGAAAAAGTAGCTGAGACTACCAAAGAGCAGATAAATTACAAGTGCACCAAGGTTGGTTATGACAAAGAGACTAAGCAGCTGCCGAACAGGGTAATCTTCTGGCCATGTTGCTGGATAGACATACGGTGTCAAAATGGAGCTATCTGCCCAGGCCAAGACAAGATCCATTGTCGTACCTGCAGGAGATTGAAGGAGAGAAACACGATACATCAAACAACAATGTAGACACAAGAGTATGGACTATAAAATATGAATGCAAAATCTTGATTCAATCTGTTACTGCCTTGCAACGTTCTGTGAAAAAATTTTTATTTGAAATCAACTCCAACCCAACAAAAATAAGGCTGCCAGCTCTATTTCTTATGAGGATGGCAAACACTTTCTTTACATATCCAGAGGTGTCTGCTTTGGCCTTAGAGCAAAGTCCAATAACATCCAAAATCCACCCAACAGTGATATCTTTCTTGGACCAACCAAAATGCACAATATACATGTTGAAACCTTTCGAAGTGCCACTGGCTTCTTCGTCAAGGAAAGTGTTAAAAATCATACAGGAGGGGAAAAATTTAAGATGTTAGTGACCCAGGGATAGGCAACCCTTCCCCTTTAAGGGCCGAGGGACTTCAGCTCCCAGAATCCCAGAAGCTATTGGCCAACATGGCTGAGGCTTCTGGGAGCTGAAGTCCCTCGGCCCTTAAAGGGAAAGGTTGCCTACCCCTGTGTTAGTCATTTATGTAACCTCCATTTGCAACACAAAAAGATACTCCCTTTACAATCCAGTATGTCACTGTTTGGTGGCCTTTCTTCACACGTTTGCTGCACAGAAAGGCATAAGTATGTTCAAGAGCAGGGGTTCCCAAACTTCGCTCCCCCAGATGTTAGGGACTTCAGGTCCCAGAATTCCTGACTGCTGACCAAGCTGGCTGGGGCTTCTGGGAGTTGAAGTCCAAAACATCTGGAGGGCACCGAGTGGATACTGCAATGATAAGTTTGTTATGATTTAGAAGGTGGAAAGACGTAAAAAAAATTAAATTTAAATTTAGGTATAAACAACAAATTCTAGTAGTACTTATAATTTGGAGGGAAAAAAAACCATGCCTAGAAGTAATAGTAGATGTGTGATATAAGGTAAATATAAAGATATTAAGAAAGTCAGTTAGAGAACAAAAGAATAGGCTGATATGGTAGCAAGGAAATAGGAATGAATAATGAATTAAAATAATGAGGAAGAATGATAGAGGGGTGATTGGGGGAAAAGATCCTGGGATTTGTAGTTTATTATTGAATGAAGGTCAGAAGAAGGTATGTGTAAGTGGATAGAAGGTAGGAGGAAGGAGGAGGAAGGAGGAGGAGGAAGATATTTAGGGAGGCGAGAGGGGAAAAGATGGATAAGGATCCCAGAATTCCATAGCACTGAACCATGGTATGTAAAGCGTTATCAAACTGGATAATTTGCAGCCAAGGACTCTCCGGCAAAAATATTCCCTGAACGCCCCTCTTGCTCTCTTCCCCTCCTTGTTATGGCTGAATTCCACAACAAGCTGGGATTTGTAGTTTTACAAGGTGTTTACCCTTCTCTGCAAAAGAGCGCTGGCAACTCACCAAACTACAAATCCCAGGATGCTGTAGAATGGAGCCATGGAAGCTAAAGCAGTATGAAACTGGATTGCTTCTGCAGGGTAAAGGCACCCTGGGCACAGCCACACTGCAGAATTAAAGCAGTTCTAACCCATTTTTAACTGTCATGATTCCGCCCAATAGGATTCGCGGTTTAACTAAGGTCCCAAACACACTGCAGAAATAATCCAGTTTGAGACTGCTTTAACTGCCTTGGCTCAGTGCTAGGGAATCCTGGGATCTGTAGTTTGTTAGTCCCAAAACACATTGCAGAAACAATCCAGTTTGAGATTGCTTTAACTGCCCTGGCTCAGTGCTAGGGAATCTTGGCATTTGTAGTTTATTAGTTCGAAATATACTGCAGAAATAATCCAGTTTGAGACTGCTTTAACTGCTCAGTGCTAGGGAGCCCTGGGATTTGCAGTTTATTGTAGCACTGACAGAGAAGGCTAAATGTCTCACTAAACTACAACTCCCAGAATTCCCTAGCATTGAGTTGCAGAGAGGCGGGTTATAAATAAAATTTATTATTATTATTATTATTATTAAAGGCAGTTAAAGCAGTCTCAAAAAGTGGATTATTTCTGCAGTGTGTTCTGGACCAAAGGTATTCAAGCCTGGTCTGTCAAAGAGCCCCCCCCCCCCAAAAAAAAACTACAGATCCCAAGGTGCTGTAGGATAGAGCCATGGCAGTTAAAGCGGGATCAAACCGGATTATTTCTTCAGTGCGGATGAGAGACAGTACAAAGGGGACACAGAAAGAGACCAAGGGCTTATCCCAAAGGAAAAGGAGGGCTATAAAGGGGAGAAAACCCTGCCTCTCTTTCCTTACCTGGCTGCAGGTATTCCTCCTCCTCTTCCTTTCCCCCAAATGAAAATGCCTCAGGCTTTGACGCAGGTACCTCTCAGGAGGGGGCGTGGCCCTTTCAACCGGCCCGCCCACACCGCCTCAGCCAATCGCCGAGCAGCAAACGGTCAGGGGCGGGGAAATAAAGAAGAACCGCTCACCTCCCTGCCCTAGCGAGGAGTCGCGCGACGCTGGCCTGTTACGTGACGTCGGCGGCGCGTGGCGGGGAGCGGGGCACGGGATTGGACGGGGAGACCCGGAGGGGCGGTGGGCGGGGCGAAAGGAAACTGAGGGGAAGCAATGGAGAGTTTGAGGGGGGCGGAGGCGGAGGGAGAAGTTACCTCAGCCGAGAGCGTTTCTAATTATGTCTAATTAAGGCAAAGGCAATGGCAATGGCGAACCCTGCTCTGGAGAAAGAAAGCCCCGTGATACTAGAGTCGCCATAAGTCGGAAAACACTCGAAGGCACGCAACAAGAATATATATACAATGTATATAATTACAATATATATAAATAATTACAATATATATACACATATGTATACTATATATATATATGTATAAGCATGTGCTTACATATGTATAAATATATATGTGTACATACATATTTGTGTGTGTGTGTGTATATATATATATATATATATATATAAATGCAAATATATACATACAAACAATTTTTATGTATCATAGTGTTTATATATTATATAATACATAAATACAAATATATATATATACACAGAATGCAAAAGTATACACAAATACAGTTATATATTATAATAACTAGATGCAAATACACATATACAATGCAAATACAAACATAATATGTATAGATTATAATATTTATATACCGTATATTGTAAACATAAATAAAATATGCACACATTTATACATATAAATATATATTATAAATTATATAAATATAAATATATACAACATATATATATATATATATATATATATATATATATATATATATATATATATGCACATATACAATGCAAATAATAATAATAATAATATTTATTTATATCCCGCTTCTTGACAAACAATCTAAGTGGCTCACAATAAAACCCATACAAACCAACCCACCCCCCTTAAAACAGTATTAAATAACAAATGTGCATATATTGTAATATATATTGTGTATTATAAATATATAAATACAAATATGCACATATATATATATATACACACACACAAATATATACAATGCATATATATATATATATATATATATATATATATATATATATAATATTTATCTATTATATATTGTAAATATATAAATACAAACACACACATATATACACCCACAACTATATACAAATATATATAATGTGTATATATTATAATATTTATATATTGTATATTATAAATATTATAAATATATAAATACAAATGCTCTCTCATGCACACACACACACATACAATACATATATATGTATATATATATATAATATTCATATATTATATATTATAAATAAATAAATACAAATATATACATACACACAAATATATACAATGCAAATATCTACATATATATAATATATGTTTAATACATGTATATAATAAATGTATATATACAAATATTTATGTATTTGTATATTTATGATATAAATATATATTTTATTATACATAGTCTCTCCTTATATATAATATCTAATCTGCTAATGTAAACTTATTATTTATATAAACTCACTCATTTTGCAAAGGGAATGCTTTTGAACTTTTACTTTAAATTCTTCCCTCTCCGCAGGTCTCAGTGATCCTTTAAATTTTCAAAGTTTTCTGTAAGTAACATCATTTAAATTAATCCACATTTAAATCACCTGAGCTCTGCTTTTTCCCATTCAGGATCAGTATTATATTATAAACCTTGGGTTCTAGCACAAGCAGGTTTGCTGCTCTGTGACTGCAAAATGTGAGTATTTTATTCAGTTGTCTTTTTCATCCAAGTAAATTTAGTATATAGTTTTGTTATTATAATTAGAATTTAGGATGATAATATCATGTTTAGATTTTCAGCCAAGATGTTTAGTAGAAATAACATTAACCACTTAAGATGACTACTTGGACTACTACGGATTCGTTGTGATTGGGCAGGCTATACATAAATAATTTATTATTATTATTATTAATATT